GAGATGCTCTGGCTGGCTACCAGAGTATCTCTGTGGAGGAACCAAGCCTCTGGTTGCCTGCCTCTCTTTTTTTACCTGGGGTATTTTTTGACCCCTGGATATCTAGGATCTAATTTTGCTCCTGCACTGCAAATTTGCAGCCTGGGGCAGGTTTGTTCATCTTTGCATGTGCCTCTTTAAGCTTCTCAAAGGGCTTTGAGATGCTGCAAGAGGTACATACATGCTTATCTGGACACACCCACTGAGTCCTACTCTGTTTCCTCGTTGCCCCCATGAATGCACTACATCCAGCACAGACTCATCCTCATCATGCCCCAGCCCTGTAACTCCTCATCACCCCCCTCACATACTACTGAGCAAACTTCTTTCTCTCTGGGCATTCAGACATCACTGCAGCCCCTCAAACCCTCCTCTTCCCTCCTCACCCATGACCCTATTCCTCCCAACCCACCTCACACCCAATTTTATCTCAGAAGCCACTACCCACTGAGCCTGACACCCCATCTGTCCCTCACACCTCCCCAACCCAATAATACGCCAGCCTGTCCTTAACCACACACCCTCTACCCCAGAGAGAGCCTCTTTCCCCCAAAAGCCTTTTGGTGCTCATGAACCCCTTGACAACCTCTCCAAAGCAGTTTCCTCCACCACTTGCAGTCCCTAACCATGTAACTGGCCCTCTCCACTGCTCCTTGCTCCTCACAGAATGTCCATAGCTAGCCACCACTGCCCTTCACAATCAACATACAGAAACAAAGGGTTGGGGGCAGTTTGTTTCCACCTGGGGCAGCACTCATACTCAGGGAAACCAAAGCATCTCACCACTGGCAACACGTACGGGGTGCACATGCACCCCCTGAGATTGGCCGTACACCCCCTAAAAGAAGCACTATCAACATTGCCTGCAGCACCTGCGGGCGGTCACTGTTCACCATCCTGCTGCCTCCGACACTGCTGGTGGCATCTGTGGGTGATTGCCACTGGCCGCTGCTGACAGCAGCATCTGTGGGTGGCCCTGCCCCACCGCCGCCACCACTGTGGCTGCCTGCAAAAGCTCCCCACTTGTCACCACTGAGCCACTGCCACCACTGCCACTTTTACCTGTGGGTGGTCACTGTGCCCCCCCATCCTCTAGGGGCACGCATCATTCATGCGTCTCATCTACCTATACTTAACTTTATACCACTGTGGTTGTGCCTTTGGTTCAGCATCCCACAGCATTTATCAGCTGCTGCAGTGAATAATGCAGGAAAGGGTCACTGCACTTTTGTAATTTATTGGACTTGTTTGATGACCAGATAAACATTACTAGGAGCAGATAACAAATAGGATATTGTAGAAGATAGGCTAACTTGATTAAAGAAAGATCAAGAGTAATGAGCCATGCAGTCAGTTGACTCCCTCAGCTCCCCTTGAATAAAAATGTAGTTGCCCCTCCCAGGCACTTTGTTTTAAACTTTCAGTGGAGCAGGAATCAAAGATCACCCCGTGGGTCTGTTCTTGGAGTACTGTCTAAACTTGTTGCACTAATTTTTGTGGCAGGGACCACACATAAGTTAGCTGGGCAGCCAGGGAACACTGGCTCTGTGTCCTGCATTCCTCTTTATAAGTGTTCTTAGGTAAAGAGGGTTCTACTTTCTGTCCCAGCTGGGGAAGCCAAAGTTAAAGATCGAAATGACTACTTTGGTACTACCAGTTGGTCATATGCTGTTAATTCAGGTGAAAAAAGATGCAGATCTAGCTAAAGGGAAAAAAATATATACTTCTACTCCTATGAAGTACAGAGGAAGCAAGGAAAAAGCAAATGCAGAGTTAAAATAAGCCAAACGACTCCACTATTTGCATTTTGGTCCTACAGCCTTAGTTTTGATGAGAGCAAGTTGATCTTTTAAGACTAAATTGTCAAAGATCCATAAAAAATTTGTACAGTGAATCACTCAGTATTAAGAACCAAAGTGTATTGGTTTGTCAGATGCTTGCATTCTATGAATTGGAGGTAAAGGCAGGAATAACAATTTAACATTGAAGTATCATATTGGAAAAGGGCCAGTGGGTGTATCTAAATATTCATTAATGTGTCATAATTACGGCACATCAAGTTTAGTACCTGTAATGACAGGTACTAACTTAATGCACTGTGATCGACACTACTACGCATTAGCGCAGATGAATGTTTTTTTAGTGGCATTAATAAGCATTAGACTAAATCTACTGTGTATTAGTGCATTAGCACATATTTTGCCCACAACACTAATGTGCAGTAGAATTAATCTTCTGCATATTGTCTCATGTAGATACATCTCGTGTGTACTAGGCCTAGCACCTGTGGAAGGGACAGAGCTTAAATTAATATACTCATTTCATTCTCCAAACATAGATTTCATAGACATTGAGGCTGGAAGGGCCCTCACAAGATCATCAAGTCTAGCCTCCTGCCTGATGAGCAGGAAGTCAGCTGGGGTCAAATGATCCCAGCAAGATAGGCATCTTTTTAGGTATACTTTTAGGATTTGATGGATTTATTTAACTAAATAAATAAAAGAGTATTCCAGTTTCAGTTTAGCATGTTTTTAAATAGAGTCTGGATGCTTACTGTGATAAAATTCAAGAGTATTATTCAAGGAATAGAATTCTCTTGTGTGTTCTTACTCTAAATTAGTTTGATTCAATAAAATTGAATGTTTAATTAAATACTTCAGTAAAAAATGGAAAATTAGTAGGCAGTAGCTTAGGTAGTAGCTTTAGGCTGCTGCTTTGGCAAAACAAGAATGATTCATGGAAATGTGTTTGTTAGCTTAAGGCCATGTATAGACAAAATGAGAGGCATGTGTGCAGAACACTTTGAAGTGGGCTAAATGCTTTTGCACTGCTTTAATGGTGTTGGTGTTTGCACGCCTCAGCGGCGTATTGCGCATTAATTCCAGCCATGAAGCGACGTACTGGGCTCCGTGCAGCTCCACAGCTCTGCAGGAAGCCCTGCAGGCAGCATAGCATCAGCCCGGGAAAGCAGGCTCTGCCTGAAAAAAGCAGTGAGCCCGATCTCCTCCCTCCCCACCGGAGCCTGCCTGCTTGCCTGAACTGCATGGGGGCCCAGTGCTTCCCTGTGTGGCTGCAGTGCCCCCTGGGACCACCCAAGCCAGGTGTCTTCAGGAAGGTGCCACCTGGGATGGGGGGGGAGGGGCGAGGGGCACACCGCTGCCCCAGAAGGAAGTACCAGCCCTCCCCTCTCCACTGGAGAGGCAGGTAAGTTAGCAGGGTGTATGCATGACCTGGGGGTTTAATCAGCCCTAAATTGAAGTGGTGTTTTTTAAAACCCACCTCTTGAATTTAGGGTCCCTGTTTCATCTACACACTATTGCTCTATTTTCTGGCATCTTTCAGGAGTGCACGTATGCAAAATAACTGCCAGCAGTGTGACATTGTAATAAAGTGTTGCTCTCAGAGTCTGAGAGTGATTCTGGAAAAACTCAAAGCTTTGGTCTTTCTCCTATTTTAGTTGCTTTTGTTCTTCTTCTTCCCATCTGCTCCTAAGGACAGAACTGAACTTTTTACCTATGCCTATTAGTATTTTTTAATTTTTTTTCTCTTTACAACCTATAATTCACATCATTCACTAGCTTTTGTTTTTCTTGTCTTTTTTTAGTTTATAACTTCCCATGCAATGCCCATATACTACTATTTACTAACTCAGAAATAATTAAAGACGCAGACAAACTGCAAAATATTGAAGTAGGTCCAGATTTGCATGCTTCAGTGCTCAAAGTTGTTTCAGTGCAGGGTTTTGGATGGATGCAAAAAACTGGCATGGATAGTTGCAAATATCAGATATGGTTTGGGGTTCAGATTTTGCAAACCCCCATTATTCTGGGTTTCTGATTTCAGAGTTTGGATCAACTTATCTCCAATAACCATAGATAATGGATCAGAGAGTAGAAAAAAAGAAGGAAGATCATTCAAGCATATGCCAGTTGGTGAAACTTGAACAAATAGAGAGTTCAAAGAAATAGGGCACATACAGGACATTTCTGGGACTTTGTCTATGATCATGTGGCTTAATTTAAGCTGTGTGATCATAGATCATATTCTGTTTGTGCAAATGTTTGCCAGTTCCAGGAGCTGCTCTGGGATTGTGGTCTAAGGTGGGAGGCAGGTGGTCCACTAAAGGGTAGGGAAATTGGGGAGCTAAAAATAGCTAGGTCAACCTTGGCAGGGAAAGTGCAGTCCTATGGCTGGGGTGAACAGTTGGGCTTTCCTAGTTGCAGGGGTGAATCCATACATATGTTCAATTAGATTGGACATGGGTTAGTCTGATCTATGCAGTGCATTTCCTCAGGCAAACTAAGTTAGACTGGAGTGGCCATTTTTTGTCTAATCTAAACTCCCTCAATCTATGTACAGTTTGGCGTTTAGATCGACTGAATCCTAGTTAGGTTGATCTAAGTATAATGTCTACACATACCCATAATTTAGGATGTTCCCTGGATGATTATATTAACATATATGAAAGATGAAAACTAGATTATCTGTTAGTATATTATCTACTCAGTAAAACGAGTAAAGGTGTTTCTGAGTTTAATTGCTACAGAGAGCTTTTTCATTTCTCAAAAGGAAGCTATTTAGCCAGATATTTTCATAGTTTGGGGGCCCTCTTAATTAGTTTATTTTAATTAGCTTAAGCTGAGTTAGCTGTAAAATTTAAGCTAGTGTATCTTTCATCAGCACATTTTTACCAGCAGGTGAAAAACAAGACTACAGTTTTAATTGTAGAATTTTACTGAGTCAGTGAAGAAGAGCTATTGTGGTGGAATATCCAGAATATTCACTTGCTAAAATGTTAAATTTTGCTTTCTTTCTTTTTTAGAGTAATTTCCATAAAGAATTACCATCCGAAGATAAGAATTATCACTCAGATGCTGCAGTATCATAACAAGGTAATGAGAAGACCAGTAGGGCTCTCTTTTCAGAGTTTTCTGTAACAACACAATCACTCACACCCAATTATTCCACCCAATTATTCCATGCCCTAATGCAAGGCATTTTTCTCTCTGAACAGGAGCATCTTAGTAAGAGTTGTCATGCAATCCACTTACTAATTAATTCAACTGTATTTACATATGCAAGGGACCTTATCGAATTCCTAGGGTGTTTGTTTAACAATTAGGGTCCTATTCTCAGAGGTGCTAAGAGGTGCTTTCATTGATTTCATTTGGATATATGAACATATAGCTTCCACGAATCAAACAACAACTTGAATCCCTAAAGCCATATATGATCCTGCTGGTGCCTCTACAGAGCTCTTCCGTGTCATCAGGAGATACTGGCACAAATTTAGGAGAGATTGAACTGAGAGAGAGACAGAGAGCTGAACATTGAGAGGTCAGAACCACTTACACCTCACTATAACAATGAGTAAGAAGGTGTAAGCCAGCTCAGGAGCAGCCTGGCTTTACAGAGTGTGATTGCTACTGGCTGTGTTGTACTCTGCCCATATAACAATGAAGGACACTTTCAGTGAGGAACATTGGTCCACTTTCTTTTGTGAAGTAGAATAATGATGTTTCTATGCTTTAAATGGCCTCAGAGGGACAATGTGCTGTAATAAGCCACCTCCGTTCGTTTCATATTTCTAAGGAAAATATATTTTTATGAAAATTAAGAAATCATGATTAAAAGCGATCATGAGGTTATAAGAAGGAGAAAAGTATGATGGATTCATTGTGTTAATGTGTGTACACATTTGTGTATGCTAAAGCGATGAAAATCCATTTGGGATTTTACATTTCAGAAAACTTCCTAAATTCAGCAAACTTTCTATCAAATTCTTTTGAGCTTTGAAAAAATGTATCTTTTCAATATTGTTTTCCAACAAAAAATGTACATGAGAACAACGATTTATAGATGTACCCATCAGATAGTTTCCAGACATTAATACTGAACAATATTAAAAGCTATATAAATGACCTGTTGAGCAGTGTCAAGAGTGAAAGACTCTTTGTAGGGCTAATACTACAGCCAGAATTTACAGTAAACCTGGAGTGCAAAGAAAACTTCAGAACATGCTGTTGCAAATGTAGTGGCCCCTACAGAGTGTCCAATGTAATTATCCATGATTAGAGTAAGGTCACTATAATATAAGGTCTTTAAAGATATGAGGAGTTTAAATTGAAAGGGGTAACATTAAAGCATGTCCCCATATAGAAATTCTCTTGAAAACATATTTTGAGGTGTAGCTGTAATGATGATAAGACCTCTGTTGATGAATTGACTTCCTGCAAGAAAAAGCAAGCCAGCACTAAAGGGGCAAACCATCTTCTTAGATACCCTATATGGTAGCAGAGAGTAGGGTACATATTTGTGATTCTTTACCTCTATTTCTTTCTTCAGGCTCATCTGCTAAATATCCCAAGCTGGAATTGGAAAGAAGGGGATGATGCAATATGTCTTGCTGAACTCAAGCTGGGTTTCATAGCCCAGAGCTGCCTGGCACCAGGTCTCTCAACAATGTTAGCCAACCTCTTCTCCATGAGGTCATTCATAAAGGTAATGCCTTGTCTCACTAAAACATATTAGCCTAGGATTCAGTTTGTTTTGGGGTTGAGTAGAGAGCACAGTTTTAATGTAAAACATATAGGGATATACTAACTGCTTTGACAACACGTACACAAACACACATGCACACATACAATCTGTTACAAATTGGGCAAAGGGCCAGGGTCTTTCATAATTATATTTTTATTTTTATTTGGCACATCTGTTGCTATTGTTCAAAGCACAATACATTTAATCTTTCTCTACTACCACCACTACTACTACTTCTCTCCTTTTTATTTTATTTTATTTATTTTTTTAGGTAAACCACTTGTTTATCTATCAGGAAAGCCCCTGCTGTTAAAATCAAAATAAGATTTTTATATATATATATCCCATATGGTAACAAAGTGCCTAGAGAAAAAGAGTGATCAGCTCTTTCTTTTACATCAGGTGGCTAGTGGACCTCTCACTGTGAGAATAAATATGGACCATGTGTTTGTACTGAAAGCCAAACCTCCTACAGCATCATTCATTTCTTTCTTTCTCCTCAGTCAAAGAGCCCCTCTGGTCTTACATGCCAAAGTTGCAGTGCAGTTGTTTCAAAGCTTTGGGGACAGCCATATCAGTTTACTAATATAAGATCTTACTTGCATCAAGCAGTTGTCTTGTATACTTGTATGTTTCAAGTATGTCAAGCAAATAGGTGGAGGAAGCTTATTATAGCAGGTGGAACATTCAAAAGAGTGGTGACAGCGTAGGTGTACATACCACCATTGGGGAGCTTTTGGCGTATAGCAATTTGATATTTATTCTCTTGTTGTGAAGAAGCAGCTGGGGGTTTTGAAACTGTTGCAAGAAATTTTTTGAGTCTTGGGAGCCTTCACTGATTCTGTGTATTGTGAGGAACCATATTAAATAAGTACATATGGCCAGAAGAATGAAAAGAAAATGAAGCAAACAAGAAACTAACATTTCCATTTAGTTCTGTTGTTATTTTACTTGAGTCTCATGTAGTTTCCCTATTCTGATGTCAGTATTTGGCATCAAAACCGAGTGCTCTCAAAAACCACTTTTCCCAGGTCTAATTGACAAATCCAAGATTTATTATAGAACCTTGTTACAAATGGGTTATCTTCTGTCCCTGCTTTTGACCTCATGAACAAGACTAAGCCTCTGTCCTTAATGTCAATAATGAGTCTTGCTTTCTCTGGAAGCATGCATGTATATCAGTAACAATTTTTTTTAGTGTAGGTAATGTTACATTTAAAAAGATCTCACTGAGCAAAATAAGGAGAAATTCAACAGGTGAAAACAAAGGTGAATGATGACTTGAAGAGTACTGCAAGAAAGGAGATTTGGGGTGAATTTTACAAAATATTGATAGGCAATGATTAAAAATTGCTTGTTTTAAAGTTAACTTTTCCCATTTATGAGCAGCTGTGGGTCATTTGCTGCTTAAGGTAACATCAACAGTTCCTTCTGCCAACTTCTTGTTCCTTTTCCAGCCCTTTTCTCCTGACTGACTGACTGACCAACAGCTATAGGGCCAGCCTGGCAAGACTCTGAGGGCATTTTCTGTGGTTTAGAGCAAAGTTTCTCAACCTTTTCTTGTACCAAAACCCATTTGTAAACATTGGTGGCTAGTCCCAACCCAGTAAATAGTTTAAGTAGAAAACAGCCCCGTGGCCCTACTCTCAGTCCCCCACAGCCCCCAGACCTGCTGTTTCCTCTCACCCCCAACCCACTGCCCCCCCACCCTGGGCAGCGAGACTCATTGCTGCCACTGCCTCTGCTGGAATTCCTGTGCCAGCCATACCACTGGCAGCATGAGGAGTAATGGATGGGGGTAGAATTGCACAGCCCTCACCTCCTCCCACCGTCAGCTGCTTTGGCACCAAGCTGTGGCTCTACACTGCCATCATAGCGCAGCCGCTGCTGCTACACTGAGGGGAGCAGCATCAGTGGCTGGGCCATGGTGACAAGGTAGAGCCTCAGCCTGGCATATGAGTGGTTGGCATTCAGAGGAGGTGAGTGCAGTGTGCCCCCACTGGGCTATGGAAGCAGCTCCTGCCCATGCCAGTCTGGCCAGGCTGCAGCCCCATGCCTGCTGACTTGCACAAATCTAGGGGGGCACATGCCCCCCCATCTCCCCAACACATCCCCTGTGCCCCCCTACCCTCCTGATTTGTCTTTGTCTCCCCTGCTCCCACCCCATAGACTTACCTGCAAGGAGCTCTGGGGAGCTGCAGGAGCTGCTCACCACACTGCTTGGCTGCCACGTGCCTGTGTATGTTCATATATGCATGAGGTGCCCCCTACCTGATCACCTTCGTTCTGCTCCCCTCAGCCCCAGGCAGCCCCTTGCAGGAACTCTTCCAGCCTGCAAAGGGAAATCCACAGGTTCCTACATTTTTCTCCTTTAAAGGAGAATCCATTTTTAAAATTTGTTGATCCATTTTTAAAGTTTGTTCATGACCCCTTCATATATTCTTGTGACTCACTTTTGGGTTGTGACCCAGGAGCTGACCCACTCCTTTGGTGATTTTCAAAATTCCTAAAATCACAGAACCCTTTCATATCACTCCTGCTGCTGCAGAACCCCTACCACTTTCCTGAAGACTAACGTGGAGCCAGGTGACATGGCCCACCAGTAGCTGTATCCTGCCTCCCAGTCTGCTCCACCATTACTTCCAGTCTGTTTGTGGAACCCCTGCTGACCTATTGCAGAGCCCTGGGTTCCACAGAACACAATCTGAAAACCAGCAGTTTAGAGCATCCTTCCTGAACTTCCATTGTCAAAGTGGCTGCTTACAGATATAAAAAAACCCAACCAGAATGGTGCTTTAGACTCCACACACTCCTGTGCCGAGCATTGCTTATGTACAGAAGAGAGTGCATTAACTGGGCTCAGCTCACCCGATGCTTGTATAGATTGGGCACTTTACTGGGGCTTTCTTGGTGCTTTTATGTAATAGCTGATGCACAGGGATTCAATCAGCTCTTATATAAAAGCACCAAAAACCTGAAGCACCCAATCAATACAGATGCAGCAGAGCTGGGTTGAAGTAACATGCTGCTTCTTTCAGTAAAGCATGGATTTTGGGGTTTTTTTTCTTTTTAACATCTGCAAGTAACCAATAAGTTCAGGATGCTGAGCAGGTGCATCTAGGTGTACAGGATAAGCAAAAGAGAACCAGTGAATTGGATCTGAGGATATCCATGATGTTTTTGCTGTTGCCATCATAGCTGATATAAAAATCATATTGTTCTGGGGACATTGTAATGAATGGCCAGATTATATTTTCTATTACTTGTGTGTTTTAGCCTTATTTCATTCAGGAGGCTGAGCTAGAGATCTTATGAGGTCCCTTCTAACTTTGGTTTATTATGATCCTTGTATCCTAGGTTTAGGAGGACAAAGGGGCAAAGATAAAATCTTTGCGTGTTTTTCAGTAGAGTATTCAGATACTGCAAAGCAGGGTTTTGAGGTTAAAATAAAATACCTTGCTGAGAAAAATATCCAGATATTGATTAGAATTAATTTCTGCTCCCTGTTTTCAAGAACAGTGGTAACAGTCTTGTGGTAAAATGGATGATATCAAGAATCACTCAGAATGCTCTATTTGTTAATATCTGAAATAAAACAAACACATAAGATTTGATGATAAAACCAATTATTGTACTGGATCAGTGCAAAGAAAACATTTACTGTATATTAATGGAAATGGAATTTTCCCAAGCATCCACAATTTCATTTGCTCTTTGGGCACGTATGCACATTCATTAATGGGCTTTTGCTAATGCACATTAAATATAGTACCTCTATTGTGTGGTATTAGAAAAAGGCACATTATCTTATTTTAATGCACATTAGTGAAAGCACACAGGTTTTTTGTGATGCTTGAATGTGCATTAAAATAGGCTACTGCACATTAAAGCACGTGTAGACGCACCTGACCAGTTGCTAAAAGCTGGAACCAGTACAATTCTAAGGATGTTTTCAACTCAAATTGCACTATGTTGATAGGGATTATAAGGGACAGTTGTGCAGGAATGGAGAAATACATATACTTCTAGCAGAGGTTCTTCTCTTTTTGCTCTAGAGCAACGCTTATTGTAACATTGAATTTAAGAATTGTCAGACATTCATAAATTCCACAGGAAAACACTATAAGCGGACATATCTTAGAAAAGTGCCAGAAAATCTTACTTTCATATGAACTTTCATTTCTATCCAGGAGAACTTTTACAGTCTTTTCTCCAATGCCTGATGAAGGGTGTTTGTGCTTGAAAGCTTGCAATTAAAGAAATTATTTTGCAAAAATCTTGTTGGTCTAATGAAAGATATCATCTCTACTACAAGTCCTGATTGCCCTTTCCTCTAGACCAATATGGCTACAACCTGGATAACTGAGAAAATCTTATTGGAACTTCTGTATTTTTTTTTAAGTTTGAAGCATGTGTTACCCCTTTTTTCCTAATATGATTAGAAAGTCATTTAATGTATAATAAATGTTTGGTCTGTCAAAAAAAAATGGACATGATTGATGGTGACACTACACACATTTAATTCATTATACCTTTCTTTGCTGAAAAAACGATTTGTGTAAACTGTCTGCCCAGCATTAAAGGTAAAACAAACTAAAAAACCTCAAAATGTTATACTTGAATGTAATATTTTCCTTTTGGTCATATCGATGTAATCTTATACAGAATCCTTTACTTTCTTTTGGCACCATACTGAACAAAGGGAAAGTTCATTTAAAAGGTTGCATAACTGTAACAGAACTCATCCCGGCACCTGGTGCCCCCTGGGGTCCGACTCACCTATCAGGAATCTCTGGCCCTGCCTCACCTCGAGTTTGTTACCTGCCACACCTTTGATGTTACTATTTGTTTATTGAGGAGGCAGTCCCTGGGGAGCACCCCTGGCTCCTTCAGCTGCTAGGTTTGTCCTTGCCACACTCACACTTGCTCTGTGTTTCCCTCAGGGTGTTGACTTTTTAAAG